TGAATATTGATTTTTCAATTTCTGTGTTGTTGTTATCTTATGTGCAGCTACAACAGCTACGGTGCATATGGCCAATCAAAGCTGGCCAACATACTGCATGCGAATGAGCTTACAAGACGCTTAAAGGTGGATTTTCGAAAAAAAGAATCTTTCATACTGATTTTCATTCTGATGTCGTAGTGGTTCTTGTGTAGTCATGATTGTCTCCATTCCTAGAGGCAAACACATATATTTCTTGGGTGTAGATTTGGATATTCCTTTTGGCACATCAAGAAGTTCTTGGTTTGCAGTCTCTGACTTCTGTAGCTCTGTCACAGCTTTGGACAAGGGCTCCATGCCATTCAATTGAACTCTAAATTTTTTAGTGATCTTTATTTCAAACAGGAAGATGGAGTAGAAATAACTGCAAACTCACTTCATCCTGGAACGATCACAACCAATCTTTTCCGTCATATGGGTATTTTTGATGGTTAGTAAGATTCTCTTTTCTTCCTTTTTCTATTTAGTAGCTGGTGTCTGATTAATATGAATGGTTTGTACAGTAAGTTCACTACTTTATGTCTGGAAGAAAGCCTCTAGTGCTCTCACTAATACTAATATATGGCATAATGAGCAGAAGACATTTCCATTTGTAGATTTGTGGTGTGTCATGCCTTTCTTTCCTTTTTTTGGGTTTCTCTTTGTTTTTATGTTTTCCTTAAGGTGGGTTGGAGAGGGAGGGAGGGAGACCGTTAAGAACTTGACCACTAATCTGGAGGAGGAGAGGGGGTTGGAATTCAACCCTCGCATTAAGCAGTTTTGGTCCATACGTTAACAAACTCTGACTGTTAGATTTAATGGAAATTGTGAAAAGAAATGATTTAACCAGAAACACCAAGTCTTGTCAAATCCCAGAAACAACACCACCAAAAACTAGAGCAAACACCAGAAATAAAAAAAAGAAGAAGAAACTGCACCAGGAAAATCGGCTCCAAACTCCAGAAATAGATCATAAATAGCAGAAACTGCAAAAATGGCACTTCCAAATGTGAGTTCATGGTAATCCTTTTTTTTTCACAGTTAAATTTAACGACCAGAGTTTGTTAAATATTTGACGTAGATCAAACATGCTCACTTTTGATTGACTTAGACGACATAAACTGCTCCAGGAGTACATTTAAGGGACCATTATTTTGGACCCGCCTAAAACATAAGAGGACTATCATTTTCTCATATATAGAGTTCTAAGCCCACAAGTCGTCGTAGAATATTTATGTGTAATGTTTGTTTCACATGCTAAGAGAAGCGAACATGAAATATTCCTTTCTGCTCATTACAGGTCTGGTCGGCACTCTTGGGAAACTTCTGCTTAAAAATGTTCAACAGGTATGTTCTGCATCGAAGCATTTAAAGGCATACACTGTACCAGTTCTTGCTATCAGAAGGTTTTATCTTAGGATTATTAATGATCTTCTTGTGAATCAGTTAGAGAAAAATCAATCTTCTAGGAGTTATTATAATGTGAATCGGAGGATGATTTGCCAATAAAGAATAACTTGTCGATACACATGACCTTTGCTCAGATGAAGAAAACGATTTCACTGAAATAGAAACAACTATGATGCCATTGAAAGTTGAAACTGACGAGTACCTTAACATTCCCTTTTCCTCTTGTTTAGGGAGCGTCAACCACCTGTTATGTTGCATTGAATCCACAAGTGAAAGGGGTGAGTGGTGAATATTTTTCAGACAACAATTTGGCGAAGACGACAGCGATGGCTAAAGATATGGATTTAGCTAAGAGGCTCTGGGATTTTAGTATGGATCTGGTCAAGTAAGATGTTATACAAGGAAAAATAGAAAAGTAACTCTGTATCTTGTTGTAATTTGTGATATTGCATAAAGAGTTAAGAGATGAATAAAGTGACGTGTTCTTAGTATTATCAAATGTTCAGCTTGATTTTTTCTTGTTAACAAAACTGACATAGACCCATAACCACTTGCTACTTGTTTATCGTCACCATCTAAATAATTTAATCACGTATATATTCTTAGAGTTGTTAATTAAATTATTGATATAATGATAACATGACCATCCAGTGGCCGATCCAAGAATTCGACGAATGGTATGTATATTTTAATATGCAAAACTAAAATATACATTCATAATAGCTAACATTTAAGGGTGTGTTTAGTACGAAGGAAAATATTTTTCACGAAAATTATTTCCTAAAAAATATTTTAACCAATCAATACTAAGCATAAGAAAGTTGAAAAACATTTTCTGGAAAAATATTTTCCTCCATACCAAACAGCAAACACAATCACCTTTGTATATCACATAATTTTCCAACAAAGAGTGTGTACCAGGCCACTCTTCTCATTTTCCGGCAAAGAATGTCTACCAGGCCACCCTTTGCCTAAGTTGCTCCGCCCATTCATTATAGGAAAAACTAAATAACTAGACATACTTCACTACCATATATACATATTTTATCTCTAGTTTAAAAAATTTACACGTAATACCACTTTTTAATAATTATACCATATATTTTAAAAAGTTAAATCACAAACATAAATTCCTTAAATGTTTGTATTGAATAATTATCTTAAAATATAATCTCCTTACTTAATGAGATATTAACAATTCAAATTTTAATTTCTCTCACATCACACCAGTTCTCTATGTCAACAGTGTATCTACTCCCCTCCCACCCAACCCCCACGTTCTCCATCATTTCTATCATATTCTTTCTTCCTTCATCCTCAATCTCCTATCCCGTTCATCTCCCACATTCTCTTTCTTTCTTCCTCCTCCCTCACAGATCTTCTTCACTAAACCATCAAAAACTTAATTGAAAACGGAGCAATACAATTTGATTGTTGAGCAACACAATCTTTCTTGGGTATTTATTTATAGAAATTTTGATTTTCTTTTTTCTTTGTTTGAGAAGTAAAAATAGTATTCCCTCCGTCCACTTTTAGTTGTCATAGTTTCCTTTTTTAGAGTCAAACTATAAGAACTTTGACTAACATTTTACGATGTATTTTTTCAACATATTGATATGCAAAAAATTACAATTTATAGTACTTTTCATATGGTATTTGAATATCTAAATTTTTAGTTTAAAATATCGAATTAATGTAATCTAATTTAACTTTGAAATTAGTCAAATTGACTTTCGAAAAGCGCAACATGACAATTAAAAGTGTGAGGGGGAGTAGCAAAAATTTTGCAGTCATAAAACTGTTTGATTGACAGGTTCAAGGAACCTCAGCTGGCGGTGGTATTTCATCGTCGGAAAAATGAGAACGGGTATCTCAACAACTACAATTAACAGAAACAGGTTGTTAGAACGAAGAAAAAAAAGTTGCTAAACGAGATCCAGAACCATATCAGTGCTGGATTCCAGTTCTGGACTTGGTGAATTTACAACGAATTTGTAGAGATCCAGTGTTTGTTAGACGTATCTAAATGTTTTATGTATTTGCACTTCATCTATGTATCTCCCCTTATTCTATATATCCTTATTCTATATATTTGTTTATTAATTAAATGTATATGTATTAAATATATATGAGTTGTTTTCTATCATATATCTGAGCATGTTGTTCTATGTAACTGAGATCTTTTTGTCATGATCTAGTTTGTTTTCTTTAGTGTATCTGAGACGGTTCTGTCATGTATCTGAGATAGTTCTGTCATGTATCTGGTCATACTTCAATGAGATAATTGTAGATCACACTTTTATGGAATTACGACAATCACAAAATCATTATTGACGCAGTTAGCGATAATAAAGACCTATCAAAGCCAATACACACATTTATCGAATCAAATTCCATTGGAAAGATTAATATTGAATAATAAGATACATAACAAGTTCCAAATACATGTTATATATCATATATACGTATGAAATTAGGTGCATAAATCACATATATAGTGCGAGATACATATTATTCTCTAAACATGAAAAATTGAAAAAAATATTCTCAAGATTCAAAAAAACAAATTCGAATTTCTGGAAAAAATTGTTCACTTGTTGTTGAAAAATCAATGAAAAAAATTGGATTTTTTTCTCTAGAAGTTGTTAGAGTAATTATTCTTAAAAGTTGTTAAAAGAGTGATTTCTTACTTAAATTAAGCATTTGTGATGTTATAAATCCATTTGATTGCGACGAGAGGGAGTTGCTCGGATGATAAGCACCCCTCACTTCCAACCCGAAGGTTGCGAGTTCGAGTTACCAAAGGAGCAAAAGGAATGGGAGCTCCTAGGGAGGGTAAAAAATAAAATTAAAAAATCCATTTGAATTGCTAATTAATCATCAATTACTCCTTTAATTAAGGAAATAAGTTACATCCCTTTAATTCAAATTAATAAATCATGTATCTCAATTTTTTAAACTGACGAAGATTGATACATATATCCAAAAATCAAAATATAGTATAGGAAGTAATATTTCAAACTATCGTGAATCCTAGTAATTATGACATAAACTAATAAATCTTCATTATGATTATATATAAAATTAGTGCCATGCGTATTTCATGAGAATGCCAGGGAATTAAAAACTTAAAGCGCCTGCCATCTAAAATGCTTTATTTATTTATGAGAATTGAGGGCAATGTATATAGGGAAAAATGATAAATATACCCTCGAATTATTGTTAATGGTATGCAGATATCTCCGTTATATTTTTGAGACATTAGTGTCCCTGTCATAAAAAAAACTAGAGCATATATACCCTTTGTACTAACGGACATACACGTGTCATAATCTTATCCACCGACTCGACATTTATTAAATATCATATCGATAAGATTGTGCCATGTGTATGTCCGTTAGTACAAAGGGTATATATGCTCTAGTTTTTGGACGGCAGGGCAGCAATATCCCATGAGTATGACGAAGGATATCTGTATACTATTTACAATAGTTCGGAGATATATTTGTCCTTGCCATGTATATATAAAGGAACATGTTTAAACCCAGAACATTTTTTAAACAACTGGAGAGAAGTAAATAAACTACTATGTGGGTTTTCAGTAGATCAAAAGGGGCATCTGGGTTTTCCTATTCCTCCACCGCTGAACAAGTCACCCAGGAAATCGACGGCTCCGGTCTCACCGCCATTGTTACAGGTGCTTACTCCATTTCACTTTCACTTTTAGTGGCTTCCAATTAATATGTGTTTGTTCCATTTCACTTTCACTTTTAGTGCTAGGTCTACGTTTACCTCTTTGCTTTAACAAAAATCGAACTGTGTCACTTTCACGGAATAAGTTAATCTATTCATTTCATGTTGAAAATCTGTGCTAGCTACTTGCATATAATTTTGGTCCTATATATCCTATGTTCATATGTATTCTAGTGGTTAATAAAGTGGCTTGAGAATCATGAAATCTCACTTCAAATCCCCTCCGGGACAAATATTAGGTGATTTCTTCTCATCTGTCCTAGTTTAGTGTACAAAGTTACTTTATACTTGTTGCTGGTGGGATGGCCATACATCACCACTATCAAAAAAATATACCCTTGGATATGTTGCACTAGAGATATGTAACATAACGTATTGTACTGTATTGGGTTGTTACTTAAGTATAATGTTTGTTTTGATTGTACTTAAATTTTATTGTATTGTATCCTTAAATTCTTTGTTATGTGATGATGCGGAAAGTCCCATTTTGTGTAACAATTGATTTGGTGTGATCGCGTCATTACCTTATTTTGTCTTTACTTATTATTTAATAATCTTATTTTATCTTATACCCACCTTTTTATAGTAGTGCTACCCCATGCCCTACTTTTCTTGGTGGTTTATTCTTCAAATTATTGATGTGTGACATTATGCAATGACGGAAAACAATACAATCTATCCAAACATTGTATCGTTAAAACAATATTGTACGACACATTATGAAACAATACGTAATTACCATCCAAACAGAGTATAGAACAATGAGCAATTGTAGGTTACAACTCAATAACCTAAGAGGCTACCTCTAACCACTTGGCCGCCTACGTTCACTTGATCACAGCAATACCTTTCAAGCTAACTCTATCCCAAAAGTACAAGTTTTTTTAAAAAGAAATATCTCGCAATAATGTTCTTGAAGTGAATAATGTTACAACTCAAATCATCTGGTACGAAGAACAGACACTGTAGAGCTGAAATGAACTCACACTCAAGATTTGCTTCTTACTTTAGCTTTCTCAATTTTCTCAATTTGAGTGTGTGATTCTGCACGACAGTAGACTAATAATACCTAGGACAAACATTAGAGGCAACGTTAACCTAACGAATAATGAAGAAGAATAGAAGTATAGTACTCCAAATATGCTGCTACTTTCTTATTGGACTGAACTCCTAATTGATGACTGTTTTCTTTAGCAAAAAGTTAGCAGCATTTGTTTTGCTTTTAATCATCAATCTATTTGTAGGAGCCTCAAGTGGTATTGGTGCTGAAACTAGCCGTGTTCTAGCTCTGCGTGGAGTTCATGTTATCATGGCTGTCAGGAATATAGCTGCTGGAAAAGATGTTAAAGAAGCAATAGTAAAGGAAATCCCAGCTGCTAAAGTTGATATAATGGAGTTAGATCTTAGCTCATTGGCATCAGTAAGGAAATTTGCAGCTGACTTTATATCATCAGGTCGCTCATTGAACATGCTAATGTAAGTGACGAATAAGAGTGGTAATCACCTAGTACTGAAAGACGACATTGCACTTTTGCTCCCTATATAGTTTTGGAAGAATCTTCATATATCTATTAATGTTACTTGTCTTCTGTTAGTAATAGCGCAGGGGTGGTGGGAATTCCCTTTATGCTTTCCAAAGATAACATAGAGCTGCAATTTGCCACAAATCATCTAGGTATGGTTGTTCGTTAGGTGTATGTTTCTGTGCACGGTATTTGTCATGCGGTGCCTTCCTGAGATGTCATGGAAGGGCAATGTGAGGTAAAGTAATCGATTTCCATATGTTTATTTTCTTCCAACTGCTTTCCCCCTTCCGTTCAATAGATTAGACTGTGTGTACTGTACAGGGAATCCAATATCAAGATCATAGGAATTAGGATGAAGAAAAGCATAAAATGCACATATATAATAGTAGATCATATGAGACCTGAATTAACTTGTATATGTAACATCAAAACAAGGGAAATTCTAAAATTACTCTGGTAAGAGGCAGTTCATATCTGCTTTGTCTGTACTATAGTTGGTAGTACGTCGTAGGAGATGATAGGTGCCTGTTGATGCTTCAAATTTGTTAACTTTCAAGAGGGACATTCAATTTATTGTTCCTGTTAATTTATCTTGTCCAAAATTGTTCTCTTTTCTAATTCCCGGTGTTTGCAGGTCATTTTCTTTTGACAAATTTGTTGTTGGACAAGATGAAGGAGACAACATGTAAAACAAAGAGAGAGGGGAGGATTGTCAATGTTTCTTCAGTAGCTTATTGTATGTTCACATGTCGTGAGGGAATTCGCTTTGACAAAATTAATGATCCCAAAAGGTAATCTAATCAAGTTTTTTATGGTGAATTTCCAAAAGTTATCTTCATTGTAATTAATAGGAGAAGTGTTCGCTCCAATTACGTCATTTGATTAATCAAATATCTTATTTGGTGTCCTTCTATCTTGATAGTTGCTCATTACTACTATTGAATTAATCAAGATGACAAGCTTTTTGTGCTCAAAATGCTGTTCTTTTCACTTCAAGCTGCATAACCATGATCAGATTTACATGATAAAATTAGTCTTCCTCCCTGGAAAATTGTTTATTCATTGTCTATATTGTTTGTTATTTTGTTTGCAGCTACTATAGTTTTTGGGCATACGGACAGTCAAAGCTGGCCAACATACTGCACACTTGTGAGCTCACAAGACGCTTAAAGGTGCTTTTCAGAAAATAAATCATTACATGTTTTTTTGTGTTCTAATAATTTTGTTTTGGCGGTTCTTGTGTAGTCATGACATGTCTCCATTCCTTGCGACAAATACACATATTTCTTGGAGTTGATATTTGGGTGTTCCAGTTTGCACATTGAGAAATCGTGATTTAATTTACAGTTTCTGATTTCTATAGCTAGGCCAGTCGTAGCTTTGGCTTATAAGGGGTCGATGCCATTCAATTGAACTCTAAAAAATTGAGTGCTCTTTATTTTGAATAGGAAGAAGGAGTGGAAATAACTGCAAATTCACTTCATCCTGGAACAATCACAACCAATATGTTTCGTCATCTGGGCTATTTTGATGGTAATAATAAGATTCTCTTTCTTCCTTTCTCTATGGTGTCTAATTAATATGAATGCTATTTGTAGCGAGTTAGTTATCTTCTTTATGTCTGAAAGAAAGCCTTTTATGCTCTCGCTAATAGTACAACAACAACAACATAGTGTAGTCTTACACAGTGGGATGAGGGAGGCTAGAGTGTACACAAACTTTATCTCGAGAGGCTTTGAGGTAGAGAGGTTGTTTTCTCCGACTCAAGACAAAAACAGTCCAGAAAATGGAAGTACAAGAGACAATAGATAGTAACAAAAACAACAGATAATTACAGAATAATACTTCAAAATGAACTACACGAAATAATAGTTAGTAACAATTAATGGCATATTTAGCAAATGGCAGACGTGTTTTGATTTGTAGACTTCTAATGCATTATTACCTTTCTTTCCCCACATTTGATAAATTAATCCTTAAGTCTGTGTTAACAAGTCATTCTAGCTCTTTTTTCCTGTTTTACCTCGAGGTGGAGTTGAGATGGAGGGGAATTATTTATTTATTTAGAACTTGACTACTACAAACTTTTGGCGATTAGAATTGAGCCAACAATCTGATCTAATGCTTAATTGTTATTGAGCCACCAGGTTGTCCCCTTGCTGATTTTTTATAGCCTTGTGAGATGCACGTTTCTGTGACATTTGACATATTTTACATGTAATGTCTGTTTCGCGTGCTGCCTGAAGAGAAGCAAACGTGAAGTATTCCTGTATGTTAATTTTATTGAACTTATACTCCCTTTTCTGTACGATGCAGGCCTTGTAAGCAAGTTTGGAAGGTTTATCTTTAAAAACGTTCAACAGGTATGTTCCACTTTGAAGTATTTATTAAATTTGCAGTACACAAATTCTTATGCAAATTTATGGAATTTTCGACATCTTGCAGAGCAAGTTTATAGATTTTGTTTTTCCTTTTCCATCTTCTCTATGTAGGGAGCATCAACCACTTGCTATGTTGCATTGCATCCACAATTGAAGGGGATAAGTGGTGAATATTTTTGTGACAACAACAGCTATTGCTAGAGATATGGATTTAGCTAAGAGGCTCTGGGATTTTAGTATGGATTTAGTCAAGTAACATATAACATGTGATATCAGTAATAGAGAAAAATAACTTAGTATTTGATTGTTTGTGATGTTTATATTTGCATTAAGAGTTAGGAGATGGATTTCTAGGTGTATTCCTACTGTATCATATCCTCAGCTTTCTGGAAAATGTCAAATGTCTCTGGGACGGAACCGAGAGTGTTCACTAAACGAAAAGCTTTTCCGAGCAGTGAGCCAGATTCAGGATTTGTAATCATTTATAGATTTGGAGTCACTGGTCCTTCTAGATGCAGAATCCCAATCCCAACTTCTTCATGTAATCAGGGCAATAGCAAAGCTCAAAGACAGAATCATTAGTTCAGGTCTTCATTCACGAGTTATCGCTGTTATGTTGTTAATATGGAAGGTTTTTGTGGACATTGCTGCATAGCTGTAATTGCTACTCTTGAGGCAAACAATACTTATCTAGACAAGAGTTACATGAGATTTTGTTAACTTAGTAGGAAGCACATCAAGGGACGCATTGATAGGTATTGTTAAGGCGTTGATGTTTTTACCTCTTGTGATTGTTGACAGAAACAAAAAACAAAGATGTGTGTTGGTTTATATGAGTCTACTACTAGTTAGGAGACCAGGTCTCTTAAGTGTATTAATAACAGGAAGAGCAGTAAAAGCTTACGGTAAAGAACAAAGATGTTGACGTGGAAACCTTTTTGGTCAAAGGAGGAAAAAATTGCGACATGATTTCTCAAATCTCCACCAACTTCAAACAACTTATGTGTATAGACTCCACTAATCACAAAGGATTGAACTCTTAATCCTACCCCTTGTAACACCTCTATTACAAAACTCTTAAAGCAATAACTTTATTGCTCACTATATTAACTATCTCTAGTTAACATAAACTTTAAACATGCAACTTGGCTAACTCTAGCCATAAACTTACTCTACAAGAATTATAATTGAAATGATCTATGTTCCTTTATAAAATATAACATAGGAATAGATCTTACAATATGAACGCAAGACACACGACTCAAGATTTAATGAAAAACTCTACAACACTTGGTCAGTTCCTTTGTTAAATCGAGCAATGTTCTTCTTTGAATTGACTATTGTTCTGTGAATAAACTTGATTGCAAAAGCTAGGTTGTTTCTTGCCAAAGTGCCTAATGTATAAGATAGACAACAATCTAGTAGCATATCATTGGTTGAGAACTCTGCACCTCTACCCCGTGCTCACCTACCGCAACAATTTTTGACAGCTTTATAGCTCCACTCCATTGACTTGTCTTTATGCATTCACAGTTCGAAGGATCAAGTCCCTTAACGAACTTACCAGATCTTTCTTCTCCGTAGTTTGTTAAATCATAAAACACCAAAATACAATAATATGTATTACTCTTCGTGTGAAGGAAGTTTAATTAGATAAAGTTTAGCGTGGCCTGAAAAAAAAACATTTTGATGTTTTAAGTTAGAATTGATTCCTTTGTAAAAAGTGAAATTGATATGTATTTTCATAATATTTTCTCTACACAAACAAAAATATTTACCTAAGGATAGTTTCCCCCAAGTGATTTTCCTTACTTGGTTGGATGGACCTAAAGAGAATGGAGTGCTAGCATGCCAATAATCACAAGTAAACGACAATGATATTCACATGTTATACAAGTCATGTTCCCTTTTTGGTTGTACATATAAATATATAATAAAGTAACAGAAATGAAAACATATCGTCGATAGATACAAAAGTAAACAATAAAAATATTATCATGTTATGTATAAAAATAATCAGTACACCATTAAATGATGTGTTGTAATAGATGAGACTGTTATTTTCTTAATTAGAGGTCTCGAACAATATCGAACCATTAAAACATTGTGTTTCATGTTAAAGTCAAATATCGAACAATAGTTTCTTTTAAAATCTTATTATAGTATTTGTGTGAGATTTTTTTTTTATAATCTCACAAAACATGGCCTCAAAAGTCTAAAATTTGGAGAAATTTTCTGTAGGATAAAAATATAAATAAACCTCATTTAATTAGTGTCAGTATGCGTTACATAATAAAGTAATTTGAAAAACTTATGCTTTAAAACGTTCAACAATTTGATCACACCAACAATAACGACAGATAAATTTCACCAATGGTTATCTAATTTTATTACACAAAACTCACGTTTTTATATTCTTCTTAACACAAAAATTCAGTTTAAAAAAATTTATCACTCAAAAATCACTTCTTCTTCTTTTTCACATAAAAGTCATCTATAGTTCTATACTTTAAATTTTATCACACAAAATTACTTTAAATTTTTTATTACAGAAAAATTATCTAACTTAAATTTGATCAAGTTTATAATTTTACATCAAAATTTTAAATTACAAACTAAATATCATATTAGGTATTTCAAATTTTATACATAACAAAAAAAATATTACAAACACAATATTTTATTCATTAAAATTGAATGCATCAATAAATGTTTTACTCCTATATAAATTTTTTCGATGCAAATTCAAATTTAAATTTAATCAGGCTCTAATATAAATATCAGATATTAGTAGGTGTTTGGCCATGCGCTATCATATCACGATATGAAATCGCGAGATGGAATAAGCGTTGGGACATTCGATTTCATGCTGATTCTAACTCATGATTTCATATCATGAGATGGAATCTCATATTCTCCAAAAATCATGATTTGAGATTTTTTAAATACAAAAATTGACTCATAAGTTTATGTTTTGTTAAAACAACCCTACATTTATATTTACTAGCCATTTATTTCATATTTAAATAAAATTCATAATCATATCATTACTTTTTAAAATTTATTATTCTCATCAATATAAAATTTCTTATTACTTTAAAATCAATTCCTACTTTATCATTTATATTCATCAAATTCATGTATTTTTTATCGAATTCATTTATCAACTTAATTTATTACTACTACTTTAATGTTTAATAAAAAAATAATTTTTCATCTATATTGAGTGAACAAGACTGACCACAATGACTTTGTAATACTTTATTATGTAATTTTATAAAATTTTATTTATTTAGTAAGATTAAATAAATAATTTAAACTATTTTAATAGTTTTGCAACGTACAACACAAAATTTTTAAATTGCATGTCCAAACAAAACTTCAATTTTATTTCATGATTTCATATCACATATCCAAACGGATTCTAATATTTTTTGTTAAAAAAATCTAAGAAGACAGAGGAGCATACATTTGGGGATAAACAAATTGGCGCTTAGCGAAAGTTGTCATCCCAAGATACAGTGCTTTTATTAATGTAGTGATCCCTCCGTAAACAGAGCTGCGTATTACACTATTTTTTTTCCATGTAAATAAATGTGTGGAGATTCTACAGAAACGTCAATTTAATAATGCCATCAAAATCTGTGTAAGCAGAGTTTTTGTCTGTTGCACCATTTTCTCACTTCTTCATAGCTAGTGAATTATAGAAACAAGCAGAGCAGCAAATTAAAGCTAAACTATGTGGCTTTTCAAGAAAAAAGGGGAATCTGGGTTTTCATATTCCTCCACGGCTGAAGAAGTCACCATTGGAATCGATGGCTCAGGTCTCATCGCCATTGTTACAGGTACTTACTCCATTTTGGTGGGCGTACTGCAATTAATCGTTGTTTTTACTCATCCGATTAAAGCATAAAAAGCAATCAGTTTCATGTTTATATAACCTCTTAAATGTTTGATAGAAAAGCAATGTTAACTTTTCACAAACATATATATCCTCCTGTTTCGGAAACAGCCTCTCGTGAGTCGTGATGGTAACGTCTGTGTAAACTCTATCCTCTTCGGACATGATTTAATTTGTATTCTCAAACTTAAGGGACCATTTTTGTTATTTTCTCTCCATTGTGCTCACTGCTCTGTTTTTCTTTCAAGTCCACATACAATAACCAAAACATCTCAAATGATCTATCCCAATTTATGTTTGACTAGACACTAAATTTTAAGATAGAAAAACTTGTGATCTAAAATTATAGGTAAAATAAGTATTATTATAAAGTTAAATTATAGAAATGTATCATTCTTTTTGGATCGCTGTAAAGAAAAGTGAGTCGTATAAATTGGGACAGAGGGAGTAATATTTTCCACTATTTGTTTTACTTGTACATTTTGTTGAGTGTCATCATTTATTAATCTCTTCTAATTTTTGAGATGTCACGTTTACATGAAATTTTCCATGTTTTTACAATAAAATTACATGAAAAGATAAAAAAAAAAACTTGTTTGACTCTCCAAATTTTATAAACATGCATGGATCCATTTGCAGGAGCATCGAGTGGTATTGGTGCTGAAACTACCCGTGTTCTTGCTCTGCGCGGAGTTCATGTTATCATGGCTGTCAGGAATATGACTGCTGGAAAAGATGTTAAAGAAGCAATAGTAAAGGAAATCCCTGCTGCCAAAGTTGATGTAATGGAGTTGGATCTTAGTTCATTTGATTCAGTAAAGAAATTTGCAGCTGATTTTATATCATCAGGTCACTCATTGAACATTTTAATGTAAGTGAAGAATAAGAGGAGTAATCAGATACTGGAAGAGTTTACACTTTTTTCCTCCCTAGTTCTGCCATTTTGCAAGAATCTCTATCTCCATAAACATCTACTAACATTATATTGTCATTCTTAAGTAATAATGCAGGCGTGATGGCAATTCCCTTTATGCTCTCCAAAGACAATATAGAGCTGCAATTTGCCACAAATCATCTAGGTATGGCTGTTAATCACATCTATTACGTGTTGAAGACAAGCATAATCGGGTCATGCTATGGAGAAGACATAGAAATTTGAAGTCTAGAAATAGAACAAAACCTTAGATAGTTGCATCTTTTCTTTTCACCAATAGTTCTTTAAGAAAAATGATAGCATAAGGTTTATCAGATTTAAATGTACTATCTCCCTTCCTGACAATGGTGGAGCCAGTGCGTTCAAAATATGTAAAAGTAAACACATGAAGAAGCTAAAGGGGTACATAAAAAATAATTTTAACTATGTATAAATAGTGCCGAAACCTCGCTGAGTCCCTGCTTCCTGATAATACTAAAATGAAGATTCAGGTATCCCTTGAAGGAGATCCATGATCGAGTTATCAATACTTTTTCATTTTAGACTTCATTTGTTAATGTGGACGGAGAAAGCCTTTTGAGACCCGAATTAACGTAGATGTGCAACAATGATACTAGGGAGAGAAAGCATGATTTTAAATTACTACTGCTTAGGCTTTCTATGTTGAAGCCAGTTTTCATGTAGACGTAGAAAGCCTTTGCCCATACTTTGTCATCCCCTCTTCAGTCACACAATACATATGTAACAGATGTTACAAGGTTTGAAT